TCTTTTTGATGTCTGAGCCCGAGAATCTCTGAACCTTTCATTCTGAGCTCTTTCTAGAGCTTTAGCACGGTTCACCACTTCTTAAAATGAGGATAGATTTAACACAATTAACATTTCCTTCAGTCTTGGACGTAAACCTTCCACGAACCAATCACAAACATCCTTTTCTGTAGGAATTGACTCAGCAGCGAAGCGGCTCAACTTGTTGAATTCACATTCGTACTCATATATTGTACGATTTCATTGCTTCAAGTTCATGAACTCTTACTTCATTTATCGGATGAATTGATCTCTGATGTATTTATGTTTAAATTCCTCTAAGAACAAAGATCATGTTACATGATCACTAGTCATTCTCAATGTAACGTTGGTCCACCAAATCCTTGCTTGCTCTCTCAACAAGGAAACCACTCCATCTAGCTTATCAGCATCGGAACAATGAAGTCCCTCAAGCATGATTTTTACGTCATTAAGCCAAAGGTTCGCAGTAATAGGACCTTCTTCGGCTTCACCTCTAAACTCTGGTGCTCCTAAACCCTTCAACTCCTTTGCAACATTCATTCTTGGAGTTGAAGTAATAGAAGGTTGGAAACGCGCCAATACCGCGTCCAGTGTTATGAAGAACACATCTTGATCACTTACAGGCACTCCAGTGGGTGTCTAATCTTCACTCTGCCTGGCCAGGGCAGGTGAATTGCTACTTTCAATGGGCCTATCATCTCCCGCTTCACTTCTAGAGCTACCATGTCCGGATATCTATAAAAACATACCCATATTATTCTATTAGCAAACCAACATACTTACTATTCTTTCATATCAGAAGTTCTCACTATTTTGTTGGCATGTATACCTTATGGGACACTTTAGACTTCGGTTTATGCCGAGAATCGACTAAACCGTAGCTCTGATACCATTAAATATAACACCCTCAACCCGTACCCGACCCAGATATGAGTCTGAGGTGTCACATTGACTTTTCAAACTTTGACTCTTGACGAAAAATCAAGGAAATTTAAAACTTTCATTAAAATAACATTGTTACTTTACACAAGTTAACCAAAACAAGACAAAACTGATCAGAGCATTTGTAACTAACACTTTTCTTACATGCCAACACACTATACACAACAAAAAAACTAACTCTTCGTCATCATGTTCCTCGACATCCCATTGAAGATTGCCATTATCAACCTCAAAAAAGTATGAATTTGAAGTTTGAATTCGATACTGGGACTACTGTATATCTCTGGTTTAAGTAGTTTAGCCTCAGTACTCGGTTTCCAATCGTGATTTACCGTCACTTCAAAACGCAGTTCCCTACTTGCTATTGACAAACTCTGGAATTTTCTTTAAAAACAATTTGCTCAACGAAGAAACTATAGGCTCGAGATTTCAGTGTTAAATATGTATAAAACTAAAGAGTTTAACCCTTCTATGTGTGTATATATATATATATATAAAATATGTCGATTAGCATCAGTACTCTGATTTCAATTAGGATTCTATATCTTATATGGTGTATCAAACTTATAAATTAACAAAAGAATTAATTACACTATGTATCCTTAAACCACAACTCTCATTTTAAATTAGTCCCTAAACTTTTAGACATTCTACTTTCATCTGTTGATTATGACTTTCATGCTATATTGGTCCATAACTTTTGAAGATTCCAAATTCATCCCTCAAACTATGAACATTCTGTATTGATCCATGAACTTTTAAATGTTGTAATTTTATCCCCAAGCTTTTAAATGATTTAGGGTTATGTTATTGAAATTTTTAAAGTTTGGGGACCAATTTAGAATGATCATATTTTAAGGATGAATTTGTAATATTCAAAAGCTTTTGGATTAATTTAGAATGTAAATCATAATTTGGTGATGAAGTTAGAAAGTTCAAAAGTTTGGAAACCAATTTAAAATAAGGATTATAGTTTGAGGATGTGTGATTCAATTAACTCATTAAAAATTTATCTATTCTCAAATAAACAATACATACATATTTAAACCCTTTCGAAATTCGAACTACTTTACTTTACAACTTATTCTTAAAAAAATAATTAATATTATTTTCTTTTGTATAGTTTATCTATTCGAACAAGGTAATTTTTATTAATAAAATTAATATTTTATTTAAATCTAATTATAAAGTATATAAATGGTAATGTGAAATATATTTTATAACACTTTTAGATGAGCTTAATTCAGTTCATTTATGTAATCAAATTATCAAATTTTTATATTTATAATTTCTTTTTCTTAACGTCTTTCTTGAAAAAAAGGCATCGGTGAGGGGTAGCCTCTAAAATATCATGAGCCTGTTAGAAAAATGTGATAAAGGGGTAGCCTTTGTTGTTGGGAGGGAAGAAGAGCTGATGATGATGCGCAAGCTACATTGTGTAGTTTTCGAGTTGAAATATGTGTTAGGCAGGTGCTGGCCAAGATCCAATTGATTGCTGTGGGGGAAACGGTGCTATCGTAATAGCTTTCAAGGTGGCTCTGGAGGTTTTTGTGGAGGCTGGTTGGGTAGACAAAGCCCTCCTTATCGTGAAATCCATCTCAAGCTTAGCCATGAATCTGATGAAATTGATGGAATGGGTCGCAATAGTTTGGGAGAGCTGGTTCCAAAAACTTGGCAGCTTTTAGCCTGGGCAGGGTCGTCGAGGAATGGGCTTTCGAAAGCTTGGTGGTAGCTCTTTTGTTGATGGTTTCTTCTTCTGCTCTCCTTGCCTGATGTTGTCTCGTGAAATTGTTGCAGTTGCTTGTGCATGGGGCTGCCTTAACTTGGTCTGTTTTGCTGTATCTTATGTTCCCGTTGAAGCCATTTGCTCCTTCTTTGGAGTGATTGGTATGTAGTAATGGGTAAAGATTTGTGGAGGGGCTATGCATGTATCAGCTCGTGTTCACAGGTTTTAACAAGGCGTTTCCTAGATCAATTGTCTGCTTCGCCTATCTTCACCATGTGAGCAGGGGCGTGGCTGGGGCGGCGCGAACTGCGCGACCGTGAAGGGGCCCAAAAAAGCCCAAAAAAGTATATATATAGTGGCGTTTTTTCAATAAACGCTACTATAGATGGATCTATTGCGACGTTGTTTTTAAAAATCGCCACTATTATTGTGCAGCCCCCAAAAAAAGCCAAAAAAGCATATATATAGTGGCGTTTTCCAATAAACTCCACTATAGATGGACCTATTGCGACGTGTTTTCAAAAAAACGCCACTATTATTGCCCAAAATCGAATATATCTAAAAAATAGGGCCCCTTTATAAGAATTTATACAGGGCCCCGAAAACCTAGCCACGGACCTGCATGTGAGGAAGCTTTAATGTGGGCTGTCTTTCTTAAATGTTAAATGCAGTTGGAGTTAGTTTGTTTGCTGGTTGTATTTTCTTGGCTTTCATGGATCTTGTTGTGTGTCCTTTGCTTCTGCGGGACTCTTAGGCTGAGGGTATGCCGTCGGTGTTACTGTGTGGATATGAATTACGTGGTTGCAGTGTAGTATTGTTGTAATTGAAGGTTACGCGTGTTGTAGTGTTGTGTTCTTTCCGAATTAAGAGCACTCTTTCATCCATTTAAGTATAAGGAAGTTTTTAACGAGACTCTTAATCTAAGTGTCGATTAATAAATCTTATATTGAACAGCCAAAACAAAAATACAATTGCTCCCCTTGGCAAGAAGAATTTTTGTTTCTAAATTGCAAGTAGATTATGTGCAGATATATTGACCGATGATAATAGTTTCTTTTCTTCCTTGGTATAATATCAAAATTCACCTTTAAATTTTATATTGTAATCACTTTGGTTCTTATTTATTATTTTAAATTATTTTAACTTTCAGCATTTCAGTTTTGATGAAAATGATTCTTATTGGAATAGAAATCATTAGTCAACTAATAATCAACAATTGTTGTCAACATGATACATTCTATGATTATTATGCTACGGTGAACCAGTACCCCGGGACCGTGCACAGAGTGCGATGAGCGTTTGAGCCCTCGCGACTCGATAAATCTCGTGTGTTGCACTCATGGTTTCGGGTTTCGGGTCTCGGGAGCCATTTGATTGCGGTGAAGATGTCTTTTTGGAACAGATTGGAGCTGTAAAATGCAATGTCTAATAAGAACCAAGTTGAAGTTGTTCCGAGCAAGTGTAATCCATGTCGTTTGGCGAATTCTTTACTGAATAGACCGAAGGAATTTGATGGTGCTGTGATTATCTTCTCTTCCTCGGGTTTGAGCTCGACGTTTAGTACTTTCGACATGTCCGCTGTTCGAAGCATAGAATCTGGAATCAACTTATGTATGTATGAATGCATGCATGCATGTGTGTTTGTATGTAGGTACGTTTTTAATGAAAGCGAGTTTCTCTCTGTTGCTTTGAAAATCAAATTCAGTGCTTCACATGGTCAGCCAAATCTGGTCAATTATGTACTCATGGTTAACTATAGAAGGAAAAATTGTGTACAAGGGCCAAACTACAAATCTGTGGATTAAACTTGTTAGGATCATTGCCAACATTCTTCATAGTGTCTCACATAGTCAGCCATGGTGGCACTCCGATATAATTGCTACGAAATTAGAAAAGATAATAGCAAGTAATCGATCCTAAAAGTAAAATAAAAATAAACACGCACACACACAACTCTAGGTATATATATATATAGCATGATATCCTCTGTATCCACTAGACATTCTGAACTTGTAAAACCATTACTCATTCAGCACTGTATATCCAATACATAGCCCAACCACCAAACCACTAGCATAGCCTGCCAAAGCAATTTGCCAAGTAGACATAACATCTAACCATGATTCTTCTTCATCTTCCCCCGGAGGAGTTGACATTGGAAGACCAACTTCATTGCATTTCCTTGACAATAGTGGCCCACATAATTTTGGGTTCCCCCTGTATGATTCATTTGAAAATGTATTGAATTGGTTGCTTTGGGGTATGCTCCCTTCAAGCTTATTGAAAGACAAGTCCACTGCTGCCAAGAAAGTTAGACTAGACTTGCAAGCTGTGGAGGAATCTCCCCTGAGAGCTTGTTCTGTGAGAGATCCAAGGACTCAAGGACTTTTAGGTTGTCAAGTGCTGATGGGATTTTTCCAGACAAGCTATTGTGGGACAAGTTTAGCATTCTTAGTGACATGAGAATTTGTATTTCTTCATGTATTCTCCCATGGAAACTGTTGTTGGAAAGGTCAAGACAAGTAAGAATGGTCAAGACTTTCTCGTAAACCATTTTGATCCCTTTGTTGACAATCATCACAGAGTCTTGATAGTACTCCTCTCCAATGTACTCCCGCGGTGCTTTGTCACCATCAGTCACCTGCATCATTGCCTTCAAACTCTGCAAAAATTCAATGGACGAGTCACCTGAAAAGTTGTTGGAAGCAATGTCCAAAATACGTAGCTTTGGAAAACCACGTTTAGTGTCAAATTTTGCAATTGAACCGTAAAATCTATTGCCTCGTAGAATGAGAACCTTCAAAGAAGGCAACTTCTCCAACCGAAACGGGAATGTATCATGAATCATATTGTTTCCAAGGTCCAGAACCTCAAGTTTTATGAAATTGGCTAATGATGTTGGCAGCTTCCCTTCCAATCTATTCCCACCGATCTTGAGCGATCTTAGTTGAGTGGCATTCAGGTAATCAATGGCTAGTTCTCCAGAAAATTGGTTAGAAGCAATGTCTAACACATCTAAAGTTGGAAAACTAATTTTATGCTTCAAATGTTTAATTTGACCATAAAATCTATTTTCCCGCAATATTAGAACTGCCAAATCAGGCAATTTCTCCAACCAAAAAGGGAAGGTATCACTCATCATGTTGTTTCCCACACCCAAAACTCCAAGTCCATTGCACTTAACCAATGATCTTGGCAACTTCCCTTCTAATCTGTTCTTACTAACTTTGAGAAACCATAGTTGGGAAGCTTTTGAAAATTTTGGTAAGATTCCACTGAAGTTATTTCCTTGAAGATCCAAATATTGGAGGGTACTCAGATTACCTAAGCAATTTGGAATTGGGCCACTCAAATTGTTATCAGATGCATCGACGTTCTCAAGTCGACATATTGCAAATAGGTGAAGGTAAGGAGCCTTGCAAGAAGTTAAACTGTGGTTGGGTAAAAGTTGGTATAAAGATGAGAGATGGTTATTTGAAATATTCAGATACCGCAAAATTTTCTTCCCGCCCAGTTTCTTACTGCACCACTTATTGTGTTATTTGAAAGATCTAGCCGATACAACTTGTCTTGTGTTTTGATGAATTCTGGAAATTCAGGAAGGTTGCATGACCTTAGTTCTAAGCTCTCTAGTTTGGGAAATTCAGCAAGACTTTTGTGGCTTTCAATTAACAAGCTTATATTGGATAGGTCAAGACCCCTTAAGTTGTTGAGTTGGAAGGACATGTCAAGCTTCTTGGAACTAAAGCTATTGTCTCCGATATAAAGCTCTTCAAGCCTCGGGAATTGAAGGATTGACTTGGGGATTGGTCCTGTTAAATGATCATTTGAAAAGGACGCATTGAGGAACTCGTCTATTTTCCCAACCAATTGATTTCCTTGGAGAAACAGTTTCTGTAATGATGGAAGAGTAAATAAAGAAGAAGGTATTGATCCTTTAAATTTGTTATATCTTGGATCAAGTCCAATGACAGGACCAATGGCATCACCACAGGTAACTCCTTCCCAAGAGCAACAATCAGTGTTGAGATCCCAAAGCTCAAATTTGGAAGAGAGTAGAATTCGGGGCATAGTAGAGATGCTGCTGCAAGTGCAACAGATAGGATCTCTGGTCATCAAGGCAATATTGTTTTGGGAGGTGAGTTTGACAAGAGGAAAAGGAAAACACAAGAGAAAGGAAGCAAGAGAAGAGAAAGAAGAGTGAAATTAGGAAATGGAGATTCTTCATGTTTGCTGGCTATGGCTGTGAAGGAAGATTATGTGTATATACAACATATTTATAAACAAATCTTTTTGTGCAATTAATTGCATGCAAATTTCCAGTCTTTTTACCCCTTCATCACTGCATGAAATAGTCATCATAAAGACAAAACTATGAATTCTCTTAGCTGGCTGAGAGAGATAGCACAAGAAGGAAGAAATTGCTTATAAAATTGATGACTTTTCAATTCTTTGGAAAAATCACCTGGAATTGCTCGATGCATTTATAGTTTTAAGAAAACTTTCCTTAAACATGATCATGCTGGCAATAATGGTGAATGTTGCAAACAGGACATACAACAGCAGACAGCAGTGTTTAAGGTGTCCAAAGCCTGCAAAAATTTTAAGCTTATAGTAGCAACAAGAAACAACGATAGTTGAAGCTAGAGCCAGTGAACATTTGTAAATTAGGAATATAAGTTTGAAAAATATGATTTCAAAGGACTTATTTAGAAACACATTTCCAGTGGTAAATGGGGGGTTGGACAGCACAATTTCTCATCCTTTGTCCCCCAAATCTATTGTTTATAAGCAATTCAAGTGATTATATTAGATCAACGTATGTTTATGTGAACTGACACAAAGGTAAGAGTATGATGCATAATATAATATATGCATTGAAATCTAAGTCTCAAAACACTTACCTTGTTCAAGTAATCTATTTGCAGAAGACAGCAAAAGATGACAATTACTGTGAATATCCATGTTTCATATTATTTTTGTTGATTCATGCCAAACCACAGCTTCAGTGTGATCCCTACTGCTTTAACACCCATTACCTATGAGAACACTCACAGACACGGATGGCTATACATGATAGATTCATGACGAAAAGTTCGATAAATTTAATTATCATTTCATTACAGTTCAATAAGCTTTAGTGACCATTTTATAATAATTTGATCATTATAATAAATATTTTGTAACTTTTGAAAAAACGTTAGTGAATGATGACAAATTTTAAACCACCAAAAAAAAAGACATTTCGGTCCCAATATGCCATTGTACATTGTATATACGCAAGTATCAGTTCAATTTCAGCCCAAGTCTTATACCCAAAACAAAATCACAAGTCTTATACTCAATCAGTCACTTTACATGTATAGAAATGAAGGAATTGCTTTCCATACGCATACTAAACCTATATTACTCGATTCGGGTGTCCGAGCATCATTTTCGTCGAGAAAATCTTTCGCTTTTCATTCATTAGGTGGGAGGACATCACCTTTGAGCACCTTCCAAGGTCCACCATAAAATTTCGGCTTCATGAGCGGCACTGCTTCTCCAGGATGATCTTCCCAGTACTTTTCCTGATCAATAGTACAACATGGACTCAATGAGCTTGTGTTGTATGTTTCACCCTTCATTCATGAATTGGATGAACATATTGATCATGTTGTATATTCAGAAAATCGAAAATAACCCGGTTTTTAGGCCAGTTCAATCGAAAATAATCCGATTGATATGGTTTCTCAAACACATATTACTATACATCCTATACATCAGGGCCACGGAGCCTAATTGTAGCTTGCTGAAATACAGTTACCAGATATAAAAGAGAATCCCATAGCTGAGAATTCAAAAACTTCGACACGCATTAATTCGCAAGTATTTCAAAATTCCGTACTGTGAGATCCAGCTATGTTACTCAAACTCGGGTGTAAGTGTCATACATGGGAATGCATTCGACATGGGTATGGCTAGAATTTTTTCTAAGTTTTTCTATGTATTTGGAGGATATCCTTATAGTCATATCCCCAAATACATATATTTCCAGTTTACATGTATGAACTCGAAATCACAAGCATTTCAAATGACTCGTAAACTCATTCAAATAAACATGTATTTCCAACACTTTAGGAAAAAAGAAAGGCAAACCCTTTACCATAATAGTGCAAGGAAATCCAGGGAAGCAACAGAAAGGAAATACCTTGTAGAGTTGCTCAGTAATGGCGGCACCAATGACGCCTGTGTAAAAAGCTGTAATATAAAGAGTAACAAGAGGCGTAAAAGATTTGGGTCTTCGGTAAGGCTCTAACATGTCCCAAAGAAGCGTTCTTTCCCATTTGTTGTAAACGTAATCTGCATATTTTCTCCATAGATAGCTCGCCATTTTCGCTTTTGATTATGGCGATGCGTGAGATGTGATGGCTTGGTGCGAGGGAAGTGAAAGCTGAAATTAGTACGCAGACACGTGCTTGAAAGTGAAAACTAGCTTCCAAGAGTTGATGCCTAAACCACACAATTCAACCAAAAAGAAGAAGAATCAATATTTTGCTATTGAGATATACTTGAGAGATTATATTGCCCAGATCCGTCATTTTCCTTAAAATGTTTACATTCGAAGCATACCTAGACATAAGTATACAGATATGGTGCTCAAAAGACTTTTCGAGCAGATGAAAAAACTTTCTAAAATTGAACACACTTAATGTTAGAATAAAAAGGATTGAGCAACCGAGCAAGCCAAATTAGAGTATTGTAGTGTTTGACATGAGTAGCTCACAAGCTTAATCGAGCTTTATATGTTCAATCAATGAAAAATCTCATTGTCATTTGAGCTCAAGTGCAAATAATTGAGCTACTAGATAAATGAGCTTCACCGAGTGAGCTCAAGTAGATTGAATTTTAAGTAAAACTCAATCAAGCTCAAGCAAAGCTTAGAGCCACGAGTTTCGATTAAGCTAGAGTTTCTTACAACATAAAGCTCAACTCAGCTCGATTACGCCCATATTTAGTTCCGGTTGCATGATGCAATTGGAAATGGTGGTAGCACCAACGGAATATCTCAATGGCACTAGCAAAAGACATTCAAATCGATTCTCAAAGAAGTAAAACCATCCATTCTGTCATCCAATTTAAGCAAATGGAGACTAAATAACAAGAAGAAAACAAGAACCAACGTACGTGGTTTGAACCATTTGCACAAGAGCGATAACCTACGTTAATCGGACTCGAATTCGAGTACAAGAACATGTGTTTTCCAAGTTCTTCATGAATTTGAATGGTAATGTAAATTGAGAGGATTGTATCCTATATTCATTTTTTTATTGAACAGCATGGGATAATTACAAGTTAATATCTATTCAGATTTTTTCTTAAATTATTAACAACACGCACGCAACTGCTCGAACTCGAATCTGAATACATATGCCACATACGATTCATGGTGAAAAGTCAAGCGAAAAATGGAAGCTTTCAAAAATGAACTGCAGAAAAGATCCATTCTTTCATCAAATTAAAACAACCCAAGAGCTTTACGGACAATCAATCTTCAAATTAAGAGAGCATCACACTGGGGTTTAATCAGTCTATGCTAATCGACCCTTTGATGCAAATGGAAATAAAATTAAAAAAACAAAGGATGTAAGACTAACCTGGTTCTTGCGAAGCTGCCGCCGTTTTACTCGCCGCCGAGCAGCCGATAAGAGAAAGGAAACTAATGGGATTCAAAATCCAAGTACAAATATAGGTCGGTGGGCTTCGGATGGACTTGTTCGTCCAAAAACATTTTTTTTTAGGATAAATTGCATAAACACTAAGTTTTCACTTGACAGATTACAATAATATCAAGGGAAAATTACAAATTTAGTAACTAAACTTTATTATTACTCCTATTTTACTCACTTTACTTTCAATTTTTGATTTATAGTTGCACTTAACACCAAATCAATTTTAATATTTGATTTATAGCTTGACAAAATTTTGAATAAAGATTTTTATTTGAATAATATAAGATCATTACAAGATAATATCTAAAATGAAAACGAAATCAAAAAGATTCAAAAAAAGAACAAGTTCAAAATGATTACAACATAGTATCAATTGTAAATCGACAATCGAGGAACTTGATGTCCACTTAATCCCGTTAGTTGATCGTCGTAACAGCTAGGGTTGTAAACAAGACAAGACAGATCATGAGTTACTCAAGATCAGCTAATCAAAGCTCAATAAATACTCGTCTCGAATGAACTTTACTCGAGCTCGATTCGAGTTTTTAATGAGCTGAAATGAACTACTTGATACTAACTCGAAAAGCTCGCGAGCAACTCGAAAATATAATATATTAAGATTTTATTTAAAAAAAATAAATTATTAATAATATTAACATTTATTTGTCGATTTTTTTAAAAAAATACAGTATATGATTTTCATGTATTTAAAGTTCAGGTTCGAGTTTAAGTTTGAGCTTCAATTAAGTTAAGTTTAATATTTTTTTTTCATTTCGAGCTTTTTCGAGCTTTTACGAGCCTCAATTCATGGCTTCGAGTTTGAGTCGAGTTTGAAATTTTAGGCTCGCGAATTTTCGAATCGAGTCGAACTCCATTTTAAAATTTTTGAGTCGAGTCAAGCTTAGCAAGTTTGGCTTGTTTATGTTTCTAATAATACCATTCCACCATGGGGACAAAATAAAATTCCCTATTGTAAAGTACAAAGCATAGTGACAATGGTAGTAAATGATAAGAGTTGAGCTAAAATCTTCAAATGAAACACAGTTCAAAATACAATTTCTTTTGTGAAGGTTGAAAGAATAAATTATTTGATCAAAATGAAGCTAAAAGAGACGTGGTGCAGTCCGGTCCATGGCAAATGGAACCCCCTCCAATTTCCCAGGTTGTTAACTACTAAAAAAAATTCAAACAACCCACATGTCCGAGCACATGGCCGAACACACATCAATCGACAACAAATTTGGTCCCATTAAGACAAAACTCCACCCTTGATGTCTATTTATCACTTTCCACTTTATTGTGTTCGGCCACTTGTTTTAAGTCTCCATCTTCGTCTCTATGCATGAAAATCAAATTTCAGAGTATGTACGAAAAATCTCAAGATAGACTCTACCAGTAAAATAAGTAATTATTCAAAGAAAATTTGAATTTCAGAATAAACATGTGCATGCCTGACCAAATTGTGGCTCCGTCATTGTTGCAAATCTAATGGATTACATTTACTTCCCATAAGAAATCAATAACCTAACCTGTTTATCTCTATGGTATGGCAATGAAGTCGTTCGGTATGGAAATTATCTTATACATATTGTTTTCGAAACACGTTCTTTTTGTCTCGATTTAATTTTACTGTTAAGTATTATCATCTCTGATATTATTATAGCGGATTTATTATGTAGTATTTGTGATAAAAAGAAATATTATTTTTCTTAAATGATATAAGTTTGAGCAATTACGCTAACTGAATGTATATGCATTATCAATGAAATAAGAAAATTATGAGTAGATAATAATTTGTAATTACCGCATAATTAATTCAGAGTTTAAATTAAGTTTTATCCTTATTATTTTTATTTTGGATTAACTAGTATAAAAATTGGGTAAAATACACAAATGGTCCCCCGACTATAGGATGAAGCTTTTTTGAGTCCCTCGATTATAAAAAACTATAAAATGATCATTTGACTATAAAGTGATGCTTTGTTAAGTCTCTGACTATTAGAAATTATAAATGATCACATGACTATTTAGTATGTTTCAAACCTGTCATTTTCTATTAAAAGTTGATGACAGTACTCAGTTCTAGTCGGTTATAGTACTTAAACTTTTAATTTTTTTAAAATCATACCTAATGTTTAGTTTTTATTTTAGTGTACACTATTAAAAACTTAATGTGTTTAGTACCTAAACTATCAATTTTGATTGTTTTAGTACTTAAACTTTTTTTCAAAACTTAATGTTACATTTTGAACAGGGGTACTAAAATGAAACAAAATATAAACTTTAGATATAGTTTTGAAAATTGAAAATTTAGGTATTAAAACATACCAAAATTGATACTTAGATATTAAATGTGTAATTTTACCATAAAAACTAAGGCTGTAATTAAAATATAATTTTTAAAAAGTCAAAAAAATATTATTATTTCAATTAAAATTATATAATTTTTAAGAAAAATTAATTGAAATTTTACTATTTTAAAGATTAAAATGTGATTTGATTTTATAACAACTTAAATTTCATCACTTTAAATTTTGAAGGCTTAAAATTGAAATTTTAACCAATTTAAGAGGGGGAAACACTAGTAGCCCCTGCTTAAAACCAACCTCTCTATGAATCAAATCTTTTTTTTTTCGCTTCCGGTCCCAAAGCTTCGCACACCTGATTTTAGTGGGTGACTCTCCTAGCAGGATGTTCTACATTCACAATGTCTCAAACTCGAAACCTGTTTAAATGGAATCAAACTACTTACTACTTAAACCAACCCCGTTAATTGAATCAAACCTGTTTTAATATTAATTAAACAAAAATTAATATTTCTTTTTGAGATAGTGACTTAACTTTATTACAATTAAACTAAACATAACATCAATCATTTTCTTATTTTAAAAAAAATATCTCTATGTAACTAAATTTGAAGCAAAGATATCATGATTGGTTGGTCATAAAAAGCTTTCTCAAATTTAATTATTTTTATTAAATAGCATATATCTTCATTTCTAGTGTTCAATGCTAAAGAAGAGGGACCCATTATGCTAATCAAAGTAAAATATAATATAGATAAGGATAACATCACTTTCATTTTTATTGATATTTAGAAAGAAATAAAAAAGCAATAAAAGTGATAATTGTTAACTATTCCTTAGTTTGTATCAAATTATTTAATGCTTAAAATTAATTTTATTTAAATTTAATTATTAAAAAGCTTACATGATAAATTTTATCATTAATTAAACACTAATCAAAATATCGAATTAGACACTAATCAAATAAGTTGTTGGATGAAATGTTCTCTTAATTAAATTTTAATCTAAAAAATTTGTAATCAAATGAGTTTTTAAAACTTGGAAAGATATTTCAACTAAATTATTATTTAAAAATAGGGTAAAGTACATAAATAGTCCCCGATTATAGGGTATTACTTTATCGAGTCCTTTGACTATTAAAAGTTACAAAATGATCCTCCAATTATAAGACGTTGCTTTTTTAAGTCCCTTGAATATTAAAAGTTATAAAATGGTCACCCGACTATTCATTGTGTTCCAAGCTCGTCATTTTTTCCGATAAAAATTAATGGTAATTTGAGTTGGATGTTAACATGTTGACTGTTATATGATATAATATGATCTAATAATCTCAAACGATTATCATATCTCAGTCAGCAGGTTAACGTCCAACTCAAATCGCTATCAATTTTTAACGAAAAAGGATGAGTTTGGTACACAATGAATAATAGGGCGACCATTTTATAACTTTTAATAGTCAGGAGACTAAAAAAAGTAATTTCCTATAGTTCCGAAACCATTTTATAACTTTTAATAATTGGGGCCTCAATAAAGCAATATCTTATAGTAGAGGTATCACTTTTATACTTTACCCTTAAAAATTTTATAATCATTTTTATGGACTCATTCGATCGTGAATTTTTAAATAAAGACTTAGGTGAGATAACATTTCATTCAAAAACTTACTTAATTGTAGTAAAATATTAATCATTGTTATAAATAGAAATATCATGTGAATGCATCTTGATGCTGATGATATTTCTTGGTAGAAAATTTTCATGTGATTTTATCCCATTCTTACTTCAACACAACGTTAAGAAAAATAAAGTTGTAGCTAGGTAATCTTGTCAATATTTCTTTTCTCGAACAATCTGGGTGATTACAAGACAGTATATATTCATAATGTTCTTAATCAATTGACAACGTACACATGCCCTGCAGACACAAGTGCTTAAACTCGTAACCTCTGGAGTGAACAACATTTTCTTTTAATATTGAGACCACTCGATGGATTCTAATCTTATCAATATCAATTGACGACCGCAAAATATGTGTATTATTGATCATTAAAAAATCTTATAAACATATATTATATTATAATCGTCTCGGAGAAAGATAAAAGAATTAATGATATTATATAAGTTGTGCATCCATTGAAATTAACTCCTTTAGTCAACCAAACTAGGTCCCATTGTTTTTTAATGGTATCTTTTAGAAAAGAAATAAAAATAAAAGCAATTTAGGCAAGAGCATGAGAGCAAGCTATACCCCAATTCAAGTAGAGAGTTGAATCATTAGGTTTTGAGAAAGCCCCACACCAATTGCTTTGATAATATGAAAGGGGAAACTTTGGTCAACATGTTGGCTCCACTCCACTTTAGCATCTTCCTTTTCTTATTTATTCGTTCTTTTTAGTTTTATTGAGTATTCACCATACAAACATCTTATAGTCGTAATTATTCGAATTTAAAAAAGAATCAATTTTTAAGCGTCGACTAATTTATATCATCAAACTTTTAATTTTGTTAATTTTAGTATTGACATTTACTTTTAAATGCAATTATATCACTCTGTCATTAATGATTTAACGAGACGATAACATGATAATTGTGTATCATGACGTTGTTGGTGTGGTTACCTCACCAAAATGATTTCGTGCTGTGACAATTTTGATGCCGAAAAAGACTTAAAAATATGTTTTGTTTAAAGAGATTTGGTTGAAAATTTAAATTATTTGTATAATCAAAACG